GCCCCTTTTCCCTTTCCCACTCCACCCCACACCACCTCGCCCTCCGCCTGGAAAGTACTAATCTACTTCCTGTCTCTATAGATGCGCCTATTCTGGACGCTTCATGTAAATGGAATCATATAACATGTGGTCCTTTAGGATGGCTTCTTTTACTTAGCACAATATTTTCGAGGTTCATCTACCTTGTAGCATGTGTCAGGACTTCATTCCTCTTTATGACTGAATAATATTCCATTGTATGGAGCAGTTGTTTATCCATTCGTCAGTTGATGGACATTTGGGTTGTTTCCACTTTTTGACTATGGTGCACAATACTGCTATGAACATCTGTGTACAAGTGTTTGTTTGAACACACATTTTAAATTCTCTTGGGTATATATACCTAAGAATGGAATTGCTTGTTCATGTTGTAGCTCTACGTTTAGCATTTTGAGGAGCTGACAGACTGTTTTCCAAAACGACCGCACCATTTTACATTCCCATCAGCAAAGGAGGAGGTTCCAATTTCTCTATATCTTCGCCGACACTTGCTATTATCTTTTTTTCAATTACAGCCATCTTGGTTGGTGTGAAATATCTCATGGTGGTTAAATCTCGTTACTTTTATTCAGTTGTTCCCATTTTTGACTTTTCAAGTTTTTGTCCATATCCTATACATCTTATATAGGTGCATCCTGGTTTCTTTTTTTTTTTTTTCTGGCTTAGCTTAACTTCTTAAAAAACTTTTGGTGGAGGCATTGCTGTAATCTATTTCATGCTCTTATGAAGGGGGTACCCAGGGATTTTGGGAGACCTCTTGAGTATGGAGTGGAGAAGGCAGAGGTGCCCTAGAAAAACAGGCACCTCTCTGCACCCGCAGGCTATTGCTACTATAAGCTCCAGGATGCCTTCTCCTCCGATCGCCTGGGCTGTTTCACCAAGTGCCGGAAGCCGTGCAGGTGAGTGTCCCCTTCCTCTGAGTCATCGGATGGGCAGCTGGCTGCTTGGCTGCATAGAATACAGGTACCTGGTTGAGCTTTTGAGTGGGAGAGCCCCGCCCCCTTCACCGAGTGCTTTCTCTTTGTCCAGTGTGACCAGCTACCAGCTCTCTGCAGGTTACTCGCGATGGCCCTCAGTGAAATCCCAGGTAAAGTGGAAAAAGGGAAGGACAGGGGATGTGCGTGTGTGACACTGTGGTCTTCTCTAGGTATATGTGTATAGTGTGTTTGACCCCACCCCAAAACTGTAAGCCTGAAGAGTATGGGATGACCCCATTGACACCCCTATTCGTTTCCAGGACTGGATCTTCCAGATGCTCTCCTTACAGAACAATTATACCGTCAAAAACAAGAGGTCAGTCCTACTCTGGTCCCAGTCCCTGGAAAGGAATCCTTGCGAGGGAAAACAGATCTGGGAAGAAAAAACGATACAGTTGATTGGAGGAGGGTGTTTGTGAGGGTCCGAGAGATTAATCTTCTACCATTTCTTTCCACCCTCTGCCCCACTCCAAAGAAATGGAGTTGCCAAACTCAACATCTTCTTCGAAGAGCTGAAGTACAAAACCAGTTCTGAGTCTCCCTCTGTCACGGTACGTCCTGTCTCACTGAGCCTGTGATTATCTGGGGAGTCTAAGTTGGTGGCTGTCAGGGAAAACAAGGGGTTGCCTTTGTGGAGGCAGAAGTGTTTGGGCCTTGAAGATAGAGGACCAAGGAAAGGGGTGTGTGCGTGAGGGTGAGGTTAAGAGGGTTGGAAGAAGAGGAACTTGGCTGGGGGATGAAGTCCCTGGGGGTAGTGGGAGGGAAGGGTGTGTCGGGTGGGTATGACTTGTACAGAAGGGCCCAGGGGGCCACAGAGAAGCTGAGAGGGGTGGGTGGGGCCTCAGGTGAGAAAGGATGGGGATCCTCTGCCAGAGCCGTCCCAGGGCCTCTACCCCAGTGGTCAGTGTACCTTTCTCCCTCGCAGATGGTCACCCTCCTGTCCAACTTGGGCAGCCAGTGGAGCCTGTGGTTCGGCTCCTCGGTGCTGTCTGTGGTGGAAATGGCTGAGCTCGTCTTTGACCTCATGGTCATCACATTCCTCATGCTGCTCCGGAGGTTCCGAAGCCGATACTGGTCTCCAGGCCGTGGGGGCAGAGGTGCTCAGGAAGTGGCCTCCACTCCAGCTTCCTCCCTCCCCTCCCGTTTCTGCCCCCAGCCCCCTTCCCCAACCTCAACTGCACCAAGCCCTGACACTTCCCTGGCCTTGACTGCCCCTCCTCCTGCCTATGCCACCCTGGGCCCCTGCCCAGCTCCATCCAGCTTGGCAGGGGCCAGCTCCTCTGCCTTCGTTCCAGGGGAGCCCTGAGAGAGAAGGTCAGTGTTAGCCCCCAAGGCAAGCAGCTTCCCCTGGTGGGCTGGAACAAGCCTTGGTAGGATTATAGAATATCTGGCCTTTCTCTGAGAGAAAGCCCAACTGTCTTTGGTGTGGGGGAGGGAAGCAGATTGGATAAGGGGCTGCAGAAATTGCCCAGAGAACAGGGGTCAAGAAAGCTGCCCAGAATTGCCCTGGCTCCTGCCCAGTACCCTCTCATCCTGCCTCTAGAACACTCTGGTTTCTTTATCCAAGCACAGACAAGTCCTTTTCCCTTGGAGCAGCCAAGTCAAACTTGGAGCTTTGACAAGGAACTTTCCTAGGAAACAACTGACGACCAGAATAAAATAAACAAGGGCGCACAAAGGCATGCCTAGGTTTCCTACTCAAAGACGACTGAAGCCTGGCCACACTGCTTTCCAGTGACACAGACGTTCGCTCCTCTTCTTGAACTTCGGTGGGGCCCTCCACCCAAAAGCCACCTTGGTTAGTTCTTGAGCAATTCCCCTTTCCCGACTCTCCAGAGCAGGGGCTGGAGCAGACCAATGTAGTAAAGGCTTGGTCATTCCCAGTCAGCCCCAGGACACTTCCAGCCTCACGTAAGCCATGCACCAGCACCTCTGCCCTGTCTCCTACGCACCTCTGCACATTGGCTCAAACTCCTTCCTAAGCCTGGAAGCTTTCCCCGCCATCTGCTGGAGAACTCCTATGCATCCCTTAGAACTTGGCTCAGGCACTACTATTTCTGTGAAGGCTTCTGCCCCATCTTGTCTTCGCCAGAATTGATCACTTTCTTCTCCCCTGGGCTCCCATTAGCATACCATAACATCTGTTGGAGTACTGACTCTGCATTTTAGTTTCTTGTTCATTTGTGTCTGCCTCCCCAACTAGACTATGAGCTCCTTGTGGTCAGGCATTGGTATTCATTTATGTGTCCTCAGGGTCAGGCCCAGTGTCCCACTTGGAGCAAGTAGGTAGGTACTCAATAAATATTTGTGGCATAAAGAATGTCTGGAGAGCTGCATGGGGTACCTTGAAGTGGGTAGAGAGTGGATGCGAGTCCCTGGGCCTCTGCCCAAGCTCTCAGGAGATCCTGGCGTGAGGCGTGGGGGACAGACACCTATACCCCTTGACTTCGCTATGGAAGTGACCATTCTTCAGGGGCCTTAAGAGAGACAAATCGTCCTGCTGGTTCCTCCATGGATGTTGCTGAGCACCTGCTGTGTGCCCATCACCACATTAGGGTGAAAGGACACAGATGTGGGTGTTACCCGCAGGAGACCTACGGGGCAGCGCTTGGGATAACTTCCTCTCCCTCTCCCCCATCCATTGTCTGTACTTCCTTTTCCTTCCTCACTTTAGTTACCATCATGAGTAACCCCCGACTCCATTCGCTGAGCACCCACAATCGCCACCCAGCTGCAGCATAACGTCCTCATCTGCCCACCTTCCCATCGACTGTCCAGTAGTGGTGGAGGATGATGAGACTCAGGCCAGATTCTTCTGAGCCTTCGAAGCCTTGTATATTCTCGTTCTTCCGTCATTATAGAGAGAGCAGCAGTGAGAATCCTCTCAGCTTTTAATAGAAGAGAAATTGAGGGATGTCATAGAAGAGCCCTAATTTTCAGACCCCTGGTTTCTTCCCCCACTCCAGCATCAGACCTGGAACCCAGAAGCCACCCTTCCTCGTCATCTTTGGGGACACTTCCTTTGCTGCCAAGGAACCCAGAAGCTACCCTTCCTCGTCATCTTTGGGGACACTTCCTTTGCTGCCCTGGTCTTACTCCCCTCAATTACAGTCTCCTTGTCCTGAGGAGCCAAGTGAATCTTGGGGAAAGAGGAAGAGCTGTTGAAGGGAATGGAGAGATTAAAAAAGGTTGTTGACCAGGAACTGATGTGGTGCTTTCTGACTTCCCTTTCCTAGACTCAAGCCGATGAGGGGAACATGGTGCTGTTACAACAGGCTCTTTTGTCAGAGCCTCAGGTTCAGCCTGCCCTTGTGTGCTCTCTGTCACAGCCCAGCCTCAGCCTTGCCCCACCTGTCCCCAGCTCCCTCTCCTTTGGCTGTGGTGGGCAGGCCCCACTGGAAAAAGCTGAATATGTTATGCATGACAGTAATCAGCTCCCCCCACCCCCACCCCAACTCATCTGGAGTTCTCTTGGCCTGTGGGTCTCCATCCTGTGGTATTTCCTTCTCTCCATCCATTATCTATATGCTACCCCTGGACCTTAGGGTTTAGGAGTTAGAATCAGCATATTAGAGAAGAGAGGATTTAAATTGCCTCCTTTTCCTTATCAAAGTTAGCAGGAGAAGTGACTTGCCCAAGTTTATGATTCTTACAGAATCTGTGTGGAACCTGGGTCTCCTTCTATGATTCACCCTGTCTCACGTGACACATGGAGTCGGAATGGCAGGGCGGGCACGGGGACCCATGAGTCCAGTGCCCTTTTGATTACTCTGTACTGCTGTGAGAGTGCGAAAGAGAGGGAGGGAGGGGGAGGAGAGGGGCAGGGGAACGGGGAGAGAGAGGGAGAGGGAGGGCGATGTGATGAGAGAAAGGGGCACTCTGCTATCTGAAGCTCTTTTTTTCCCCATCCTTTGCTCTGTAGACCCTAACTGCCGATTCTGAAATCCCTTAGTTTGTCTCTCTCTTATTTCTCCATCTCTCCCATTCTCTCCACCGTTATTTCTTCCCCTGGAGTGACTATGGTCATATTCTCACCTCCTCCATGAGACTAGTTAGCTTTTTATATTCTTAGATTTACCCACCTCTCATCATCTTTTTAAATCAGAATGTCATTGAACAATTTCATACCACGTTTCTCAAAACTTTATTTTATTTTTATTTATTTTTTATTTTTCAAAACTTTAAACTTATTGAGTAAATAAGCATTTATCCTGAACAATGAAAGAGAGTCTCCTTTTGTGCCAGACTATGCATAATGGCTTAGACAGTTGGCACAGTCTATTAAAATTTCCTTGTAATGTTGAACATAGGACATTGAAGTTGATATTAATTATTGATACAAACTGTTAATATTGCTACCACTTATTGAATGTTTAATATATGGCAAACACTAAACACTTTACATGTATCTAATCATCAATGCATATGATGCGAGGAGTACGGGCATGTTGCCCGTTTTGTAGATGAGGAGCCTATGGCCCTCCTTGCTTCTTCACGTTGGAAGCTGGGCATTCTAGCTCTTGTACTTAATTCTAATGACTATGCTTCATCGAGAGCTCTGATTTGGGTCCACTGTACCACACTTGCAGGTTCCCTGCGTGTTGGTGGATGTGAGCTCCTTCCTCTGCGAGGACAGCTTCAACTCTTCAATTTTTCAGTAGTTGGAGGATGGGGTGGAGTGAAGTCAACCTGAGGTGGGGGCATCCAAAATCCATTCTCGTCTCTAGGTGCTCTGCCCTTGGGAAGGCCATGTAGAGCCAGGCAGGGTGGACTCTGAGTTTGGGGGTCTGCTGGTGATCAAGGGGAGAAGGTTGCCAGGAGCTCTGATTCCAAGTCACAGAGCCCTTGGACCTCACTCTTCTCTGGTCTCCCTGCATTTCTAGCAATGTCAGCAGCAAGAGGACCCCGGGCCTGCTCTGGGAATAGAGAAGGTCATTGCGCTCGGAGGACATTTGGGTGAACCTTGTACCCTTGTGGGATTCATGTGGGAGATGTCCTGCACAGGGGGGTGGCATAAAATACCCAAAGAGTCAGGGTGTGGAGTCCGACTTAAAGGGACAGATAGAAAAGTAGCAAAATGGGCCCTTGGATTGAAATCAGGAGTCTGGAGTTTCTGCTGGTTCTGCAGGGAACATGTTGTGTGTGTCTCTGGGCCTCAGTTTCCTCAATTATAAAATGAGAGGGTACAGGAGATTATCTCTAGGGTCAGTTTGGATCGATGTACAGAATATATGGAGAAAGGGTGTGGGAATGTACTCGTAATATCTGATGGAGATATCTGTAATTCAGAAAGCATTTTGACAGATACGACCTCATTAATACTCGTCACATCACTGTCCCGTGTTGGTGGGCTAGGCGTCATTCCTGTCATCTAATAATGGGGAGCCTAGGCCCAGCGGAGGTGTCCCGCTTGAGGTCCCACCATTGTTCGATGGCGGAGCCAGGATCAGCAGCGGAAGAACCCAGCCAGGCACAGACTGAGGTTTGGATTAGAGGGGTAAATTTCCAAGAAAGTGAGAGATTAGAACATCGGGGAGAGCTCTGAGAAAAAGGGAAGAGTTATTAAGAAACATTGGGTATTTGTCATGTATCAGACACTCACCTGTCCTGTTTCAATAAATACTTACAGCAACCACTTGAGATAGGTTCTCTCCATTTTGCAAATTGCAGAACAGGCTGAGAGAGTTTAGGTTGTTTGTCCAAGACCACCCAGCTAAAATGTAAAGGATTCTGAACTAGAACCCAGTGAATTTAACTCCAAAGCTGTGGGTCTTTCTTTTGCTGTTCATTTGGGAAAGGCCAGGTGATGGGGGTGAGGATGAAGGGGACTTGTTGCCCCTTGGTGTTTGGTTGGGAGTGCTCAGATTGGTGGGTCAGGGGCACAAGGCAGGTGGATCCAAAACTCCGGACTGACTGCTCTACAAAGGGTTAACTTTGCCCCCTCCTCCGGCCTCCTCCCTCCTCCTCCCTCCACCTACTGCCTCCTCCCCCGAGCTCTTCCTGTGCCGCTGTTGCGACACCCTTCTGCCTCTCTCCCTTCCCCTCCCACCTCCTCTTTCCTCCTCTGCTTTAATTTTCTCGGAGTTTTGTGGACTCAGGCTTCGGTTCTGGCCTTCGGGATTTGAGGCCTCTGGGACCAGGCCGTGATCTCCATTCCAATCTCAGACCTCAACTCCTCTAACCAAGGCCCAGGCTCCACTTGGGACCTCCCGACCCGCTCAATCTGGGACTCTGCCTGCTGCCGTCACTGCCGCCACTGCCTGAGCCCTCATGGGGGAGTGAGAGGCCACAGCTGGCCAGACATGGGCCTCCCCACCGTGCCTGGCTTGCTGCAGCCACTGGTGAGACCAGGGTCGAAGGGCGGAGTGGGCTGGTGGGCGACGGGCACCGCTGGCTGTCAGGAATGGACCCTTGCCAGGAGAGGACCGTGGCCTGACCTCAAACTCTGCCAGAAGCCTAGGTTTCCCTATTCCTCCGCCCGCCCCGAGTCAAAGGCAAGGGGGACGTTTGAAAGGCAGGAAGGGAAAGGAGCACGGACCCCTGATAGCCAAGGAAGTTTGCTGGGGCGAAGGGGTGTCTGGAATGTGGCGGCAGGTGGTGGCCGAAGGTGGAGAAGGTTTGGGAGGGAAAGGAAAGACGTGGGAGAAAGAAGCTTAGTCTTAGAGTCCGGTTGGTTCAGAACTCTGTCCCTCTGGCCAGTCGGCTAGCCCGGGCCGCATTGGACTGGGGAGAGAGGAGGCTGCCAGTGTGCCCCGCCGGAGCGAACCCTGCCAGAGGGCAGGAGTTGGACAGCAGTTAAGTGGGGAAACAGTCTGGGAGAGGAGGTGGGTTGGGGGTGTAAGTTTGGGGTGCCATGTTGTGGAGGGTATTTGGGACTCTAGCGGACAATGGGACAGGGACAGGGCGGCCCTGCGGAAAGCATTCCCAGTGCTCTCCCCTGCCTGGCTCAGGTCTTCCACTTCGGGGCATTCTTCAACCTTTGCCTCTGGCTCAGCTTCTAGGCAGGTGGCCTCTGTTGGACTGACCCTCTCTCAGTAGCTAACACCAACTCCACCTGGACAGGGTCCCTATGTCTGCCTTCCAGGTTATCCCCACAGCCCTAGACAACAATTCCTTGGTTTCTTCTACAGCTCAGTTTGGGGAAGTTGATAGAAAGCTGTTTTCGTCACTGGAAAATGTCCCTTTCTCTTGCTTCAGCGTTGTGTCAAAGTACCCTCGATCTCCCTCCCTGTCCTGAAGCCATCCTGTGCAGATGCCCTGAGCCCCTCAGCACCTAGCCAGGTGCACTACCCACCCTGTGTTGGCCAGTTTCTTCTCAGGCACTGGCTCCCCTGTTGTTCCCCCACCTCTTCTCTCTTTGGGGTGTTATACTTTCTTACCCATAAGTCTCCTCAGACGTCTCAGAGTCTCCTTTTGAAACCATTTCTCTCTAGTTCCCACCTTCTCCCTCTCTTCTGTGCTCTGCCCCACATTTCTAGACCACAGTTCCCCATGGAGCACCCCTCTCTATCCTGGTCTCACTATTCTAGTTCTTCCACCTCCTGTCTCCCCAGACCCATGTCTCTTCCCTCCCCCCAGTCCAGCTGCCCTGCCATCTTCTCTTCTCTCTTTGGGAGTAGATCACCTGGATTCAAATCCTGGCTCCCTCATATAGTAGCTGCCTGAACTTGAGCAGGTTATGTAAACCCTCCATACCTTAGTTTCTTATCTCTAAAATGAACGTAATAGTCACTACCTCCTATTGTTTTTATCTCCACATAAAGTTGTTTTAAAGATTAAACAGATTTATATATATGAAGTATTCAATTTATTAAGTGCCTGTTCTGTGCTAGATACAGTTTTGGGGGCTAGGATTACAGCAGTGAACGAAATCGCTGCCCGTATGGAGTCTACATTCTAGTAGAGGAATACGATATAGCGAAAAGAAAGCACTTCAATAGATGTTAGCTTTTATGTTGTTAGTGTTAGTACCATTAGTAGTAATCACTGTGTTTGGGAAACAGAAGGTATTGTAGCCAGAACAGGTAAAGGGAAGTGCCTGGAGGCTGGGGCTGATCCGCCCCAGTTAGGGGTTTGACTACTAGGGACACAAGCTCAGTCTGGTGCTGGAGGGAAAACTGGAGGTGTGCAAGGTCTGGATAAGGCTGGCCATGAGCTTTCCAATTGCTCACCGTTCAATGGCCAATTCAGAGCACACAATGTGTATGCATGTGTGAATGGGTATAGAGTGGAAGAACGCAAGACAGAGTGTGTTAAAACAAACGGGACTTTGCTGCTCTCAAAAAGCTTATAATATAGGAGCTAAAACAGCTCCCAGCAAAAAATGAATTCAGAGAATAGTGGAGAAAAATCTCCACAAAAGCATTGTGATGTGATGCCCAGCTGCCTTTTCTTGCTTAGCAAATCTCAACACTAGAGACCATGCTCTCGTACTGCTCCCTGCACAAATTGCAGAGCCTACAATCGACTGTTTGACCCAGCGGAGAACTCACGAGAGCATGAATGGTGTATTTTATCTCTGTCTCCCTGGCAGCCAGACCAGACTGCTCAGCTATTTGTTGAATGAATAAAAGAACAAAATATTGGTCAGATGGGATGAGAGAGGGAAAGCCTCATAGAAAGTGGATTTGGAGCTGAAATTTGAAGTCATCGAATGGCAGAGTGGCTAGAAAGAAGGGAGATTGGTATTGGTTTGAGGGAGAGCAGAGGAGTGGAGAGACAGGGTTTTGTATTGGGTTTGGTGGTGGCCGGAAGAAGAATACCTTAGCCAAAGTGGAAGGGCCATGTCAAGGAACCAGAAGAATTGAGGATGAGAAAATTAGAGGGAGTGGAGGAGGGGATGAGGACAGAATTTGAATGTGGTCCTAACGAGAAGAATTCATTCATTCGTTCGTTTATTCGTTCAGAAACGGTTCTCTGAGGGCCCACTGCATTTGAGGAATGTGTTCAGAATAGCAATGAGGTATCTTTGCAAGGACTCATTCAAGAAATTGGCGATCCGTTGAAACGATGTTCAGGTCAGGCCCAGGGGAGGAAGATTCCCACACATGCAGGTGCACGTTGAAGCCTGAACGCAGATAAGAAAGTCTGTAGGATGGGTTGGAGCAGGAAAGGGGCTGGGGAATCTGCTGAAAGACAGTTGCAATAATCCAGATGTGAGGCAACCCACGGACATGGAGCGAACCTGGAGATCACAGAGGAAGGACTGGCAAGAGGAACTGAGACTGGATGGCAGTAGGGACGGAGGAGGGGCCCTGAGGAAAGAAAGGTGGCAAATGTCTTGGCATTGGTGCGAAGTTGGTGGTGTAACATTTGTATAGGCCAAGAGATTGATGAATTTAGTTTGGATGATGTTAAGGGTCCAGGGAATAGCCAAGTGAAGTACGTGTCTAACAGGCTAGAGCAGAGGTGTTCAAACTCTTATTTGTCTTCCTATCGTTTGTAGGAGCTGCTTTTACTTACTGGTGACTCTCACAGGGACAGGAACACTTGTCACAATCTGCACTGAGGGTGTTCATGTGTCTGCACGTGTGTGGGATGGAGGGGGCCAGTCCTTTGAGAACTCTCCCGTGGAGATAAATAAATTCCTATGGGGGAGTGGGACACTAACTCCCTACTTCCCTCTTTGGGAATCACTGGCTTTACCTGTAGTGGAAGACAGATCAGCCATTAGATCAACCCATGAATCCATGTTTATTTTGCTCCCCCCAGTTCTGGGTGCTGGGAAGATACCCAGGA